TTCCATGCAGCCTTTGTTGTGGTCTAATCAGCAATTTTCTCAAATATGTTCACATACACACACTGATGGATGTAGAACAACGCCTTCTGATCTTTCTTCCTCGTATCTCTATGCGCTTTTCTCCCGTTCCTCTGTCACATCCGCTGCAATTGGAACGTAACCTTTGGTAATAAGCTCAAGAACATCTTGAGCACTGAACAACGTGCGCATCTGAATCATCCAGCTATTCCAGTTCTTTCCATCGAACACTAGAAGTTTGGTGCTCAGACTACCGTTTCCGTTCATCTTCAACCTTGTGCAAGTCACTCAGATCTCACCAAACATAGTGTTTCCCGATCCCACATAAGCAAAAAAATGTGATCTTTTTTATGATTTTGTTCATGAAATCAATCAGGCAACGTCTCACTATTTCACTCGTGTTTCCTGTGTTTCCCTGTGGATCCGAACCGGAGCTCTAGATGCTAATTGTTAGTGCACAAGGTGATGAAGAACATAAAAGAATGAGAAAATATATTTTATTTCTCTGAAAAATGACGACTACAAAAGCTAAAGGAAGATTGATTACATATGACAACTACTACTAGTTTATTTATACACAAAGTAAATTGTCATGTAAGTCCTAAAAGTAAACTTAATAGCTAAGTTAACAAATAAACTAAAATAATAAATTACCCTTCAATATTTTAATCACAATAAATAAATAAATTGAATTTACCTATACATGTGGATTGCTATGTCACCATTCGCTAGTCCCATTTAACATTAGGGACCAATTGTATGGGCAGGAATTTTTTAAGAACCATTCTTTCATAAAATTATTTTAAGAAATTAAAAATGAAAACTGTAATATTTATGAAGACCAAAAATATATTTAACCCTAAAATTTATACATCTACTAAACATTCCATCACATAATACGAGTTTCGGTGGAGAAATTATTTCTCTCTCTATTAGAGATGAATCTTGAAGTTCATCTTGAATCTTGAAAATTGTTAGAGAGAGATATAATTTGTAACTATATTATTCATCATTTAAAGCAATGTAACAGTACAAGAGGAGTATTTAAAGAAAGAAACAGGGTGAAAGGAAAAACAGAATTGAACAGAAAAAGGAATTGGGCCTAACCACTACCATCCCAATACACAAGCCCAATAATATACTCTAACAACCCCCCCCCCCCCCCCCATTAAACTAAAGGATAATGCTTTATGCTAGAAACCTTAAGTTTTCTTGTAAGGTATTGAAATGCAGAAGCCCCTAATGGCTTGGTGAGAGTATTCGCGATTTGCATAGCAGAAAGAACATGTTGGATCAATATTCTACCAGCAACAACTCTTTCTCTTACAAAATGAATGCCAAGTCTATATGCTTCGTGCGAGCATGAAGAACCGGATTTGCGAAAGCAGCATGGTGCTTAAATTGTCACAGAGCAAAGTGGGGTTATGAAATGGAATTTGTAGTTCAGAGAGAAACGATTCCAGCCATAACTGTTCAAAAGTTGAATGAGCTAATTCCCTGTGTTCAACTTCAGTGCTGGAACGTGCTACTAGGGACTACTTTTTGGAACTCCAAGCCATCAAATTCAGACCAAAATAGATACAAGATCCTGATGTTGAAAGCCTATCATCTGGGTCACTAGCCTAGTCAGATTCGCTGTAAGCTTGTAAAGAGAACTTTAAGACAGAAGCAGATGGAGACAACATGAGTCCATGCCTTGAGGTGCCATTAAGATATCGCAATACACATTTTACAGTAGCCCAGTGAGTATCGAGGGGACATGCCATAAATTTACACGTCTTGTTCACACTGTAGATAATATCTGGTCTAGTCAAGGTGACATATTGTAAAGCACCAACAACAGATCTATACAAATGAGGATCAGTCATAAGATTTGTTCCATGCTTGCTAAGTTTGCACATACTTAGAATAGGTGTATGAACACCATTAGCAGCAGTCATTTTTTCTCTTGAAAGCAAGTCTTGAATGTATTTGGACTGAGTTAAGAACATAGAGCCATTTCTGCAAAAGGTTACTTCAATTCCTAGAAAATACCTAGGTCTTCCCAGCTTTTTCAATGCAAAGGTATTATGCAGTTTACTAATCAGATCATGGATAAGAGAGGTGTTGGATCCTGTTATAAGAATATCATTAACGTAGACAAGAGCATATAGTGTGATACCTTGTTTTTAGTAGACAAATAGAGATTTGTCACATTTGGAGGCAGAAAACCCAAAATGGAGAAGAGACTGAGTCATCTTTTCATACCAAGCACGTGGGGCTTGCTTGAGGCCATAAATTGCCTTGTTGAGTTTACAAACAAGATGTTTGTTAGTATTCATAAATCCTGGAGGCTGAACCATATATACCTCATCATGTAGATTACCATTTAGAAAGGCATTGTTGATGTCAATTAGCTGAATATCCCATTTCTAAGTAATGGCAAGGGTTAGGATTACTCTTATTTTAGTAGATTTTACCACTGGTGGAAAGGTTTTAGTGTAATCAAAACCATGTTCTTGGTGAAAACTTTTGGCAACAAGCCTAGCTTTGTGTTTGAGAATGGATCCATCAGGGTTTTATCTAAGCTTGAAGATCCATTTGCAGCCAACAGCTGCTATACCAGGTGGTAGTGTGGTTAGTTCCATGCGTTGTTAGCTAGCAGTGCATTGAATTCATCCTATACAACTTTGGACCATTCAGGTTTACTAAGTGCTTGTTTGACACTAGTTGGTTCAGTTTCAGTGTGTACAAGTAGAGCTTTAGGTCTGGAGTGTCCAGTTTTGGCACAAGTTAACATAGGATGGTTATTTTCAAGTAAAGAGACTATGGGTTTACTGGACACAATAGAGGGAGAGTTGGATGATTCAGATACAAGAATGAATGAGGATATAGTAATTTCATTTGAGCAGAAGTTAGTGCTATCAATATTTTGACTAGAAGGATTTAAATGATCAGACATGTGACCTAGATTAGTGTCCTCAGGACCTTCAGGCGTAGGTAACTGATCAAAATTGGTGTCCTTGGTACTGGAAGATATAGTATTATTTTGTTGTGGACTATTACCAGGATTAATATCCTCAGGACATTGAGATACCTCAAGTACAACATGTCCTGTACAGTTGAGAGTAGAGTTATTAGTTGAAAAAGGTTAGAGCTAGAGCTATTTCCTAGCAGATTTGAGACACCTCTAGGAATACTGACATTATTATTGTTGTTGGGATAAGAGGTAGCATTAGATGGTGTACTAGTAGCAGGCTGATTAGACATAGGAGTGGAATAATCTCTAAGTAACTCATGACCAGCATCTGATTTGGAATCAGTATCAGTAGGATGATCTTGACTAGGAGTATCTGGGACTACCAAACTAACTTATTGAGTATTACTAGGGTTTTTAGGTAATGCACATATTTGAGTGACAGCAGGGCAAGAGCCAATGACTAAAGGGATGAGAGTGTGTCAGTAGAGCTGCTTTTATGAGTACTGACAGGATTGTCAACTGAAAAGAGTTTTGGGAAAGGGAAGTTGTTTTCATTAAATGTGACATCCTTTGAGATATATATTTTACCCTCTTTACTAAGGCATTTGAACCCTTTGTGTTGAAAGGATAGACCTAAGTAGACACACTCTTGACTTCTCAATTCAAACTTGTGTTTATTAAAGGGCCTAAGTAAGGAAAAGCATGAACAGCCAAAAACTCTTAATTTTTTATAGTTAGGTTGATTATCATACAAGGCTTGAAAGGGAGATGAAGTTATGGCTAAAGCTGAGGTAGGCAATCTATTTATAATGTGAACAATAGTGGAAAAGTTTTGATCCCAATATGTTAGAGGAATGGAAGAGTGAGATAATAGGGTGAGACCCATTTCCACTATTTGCCTATGCTTCCTCTCAACTGAACCATTATGATGAGATGTATGAGGACAAGTTCATCTATGAACTATACCTAATCATGTCAAGTATTTTGTGAAAGGTCTGAACTCTCCACCAAAATCAGACTGGACAAATTTAATTTTGACCTTAAACTGAGTAAACACAAACTGGTGAAATAGTTTAAAGGCATGTATGGCTTCTGATTTTTGTTTAAGGAAATATAGTCAGGTGTATTTGGTCTTGCTATCAACAAAAACTATATAATATCTATAACCAGAGATAGAAGGATTGGGGGAGGGACCCCATAAGTCAGTGTAAATCACATCAAATGACTCTTTGTATATAATAGTAGTACTAGGGGCATGTAATCTATGTGCTTTTCCAACATGACAAGAATTACAAAATTCAGAACTTTGTTTATTAAAAGTGCTAATATTACACAGTTTGAGTATAGAAGTAATTGAATTAAAATTGGCACGACCTAGTCTATGATGCCAAAGAGTATTGTCATTACATGAACTAGGTTTATGAGAAGTAGAATTAGAAGAAACAAAGCTTTGTACAGCAGTACCAGTATACAAACTGTTATTATGGCTGTGAGGATGTGTTGACTCCAAGTATAGTTGAGGAAAATAGTAAAGGCCACTTGCATCAAGAGCTCCTTCAACAAGGATTTGTTTAGAAGCCTGACATTTTATGCAGCATTTATCAGAATGGAATTCAAAAACAACTTGGTTATCACTAGAATACTTTGAGATAGATAACAAATTCTTAGTGATAGTAGGAACATGAAGCACATTAGACAATTTTAGCTTATAATTAGGGCTAAGGGAAGAGTAAAATTGAGACAATCCTATGGACTGTATGGTTAGAGTTTGACCATTTCCAACATACACACAATTAGAACCAGTGTAGGGCTTTATGTGTTGTAAGTGAAAATCATAAGGAGTTAGGTGGTGAGAGGCACCTGAATCAGCAAACTAAGCTTGAGACTCTAACTCGTATGGAAGAGAGTACTCTTGTATAGTTGCCATCATAGCCATGGCTTTGGAATTTTGTGCAGAGTGAGATGTAGAGCCTTGATTTTGAGTAGCACTGTTTGTAGTTCTAGTCTGAGTATCAACAGAGTCTTATGGCATGAAATTCTCATCAAATCTGGGCCAACAAGTGGAGACAGAGTGTCCATATTTTCCACATAATGGGCAAGTTGGACGATTTCCAGTGCTAGCTATGGTTCTGCCTCTCCCACGCCCTCGACTGTACTTGTGTCCTCTTCCATGGTTCCTTGAGTAGTTACCTCTACAACTTTCTTCCTTTTGACCAGTATGAGCAATATTTGCAGAGACTGTGTTAGCAACTAGTTCTTGACGAAATTTATCATGTTGTGTTTCTTTCACATAGAGCAAACCTTCAACATCACATAGTGTTGGGGGAACAGGGCAGCCATACTTCTGCATAACAAATGGATTATATTCCTCTGGAAGCCCATTGAGGATCGAGTCAATTTGGTCTTGTTCAGTGATGAGATCACCAACTGCGAGTAATGAATTGGCAATAACTTTGATGCGTAGCAAAAACTCAGTGACAAATTTGTTCCCTTTCTTGGTAGATTTCAATTCTATTCGTAGTTGGCGAACTCTTGCTTTCATATGAGCATTGAAGTACTGATGGATTTTATCCCAAACTTCAAATGCATGTTTGCAAACAAGAACCCTAGGAAGAAAGGGCTCAGAGATTGTAGATAACAACCATATGAAGATTGCTTGATCTTGAACGATCCAAGCATCATATTCTTCATAGAACGTACCTGAGATACGATCTTGATTAGTTTTGTACTTTTGTGGAATTTGTGGATTAACCACAAATCAGTGCATCTTCTGAGTGAGGATTACTCCTTCGACTTGTTGATTCCAGAGAAGGTAGTTATTCTCCTGCAGCTTGATAGAGAGTTTCGTTCCAAATGCATTGCTGGATTTGTTCGTCGCAAATATGGTGGAGGTTTCATGATCTTTGATCACTGATTCGTCATTTCCAAATGACGCCCTTGTTGGATCTTGAAAAGCTTTCACAGAAGGAGCTTCACTCAGTTTGCAGAGATCAACTCGACTGATGATGATGGATTACGGAAGCGTAGGTGATCGTTACACGCGATTGATACCATATCAGAGATGAATCTTAAAGTTCATCTTGAATCCTGAAAGTTGTTAGAGAGAGAGAGATATATAATCTGTAATTATATTATTCATCAGTTAAAGCAATGTAACAGTACAAAAGGAGTATTTAAAAAAAGAAAGAGGGTTCAAGACAAAACAGAATAACGGAATTGGACAAAAAAAGGAATTGGGTCTAAGTAGTGCCAACCCAATATACAAGCCCAATAATATACTCTAACACTCTCCTTCCTTTACGCCTTCTTTGATGTATGTGTCTATTCTATTTTTGAATCCGTCATTGTCCATTTTTAGATGTTCTTCATGAGATTCTTTATGAAAATGTTGACGTATATCTAGACAATAGTTATTTTGCTAACATGATTCCATAACTCGCCATCGAGGTAGAGAAGAGTGGAAACTTTAAAGGATGTTTTTCATATATGACGCCAAATGATATGCTGACAAAAATTCTTCTTTAACTATAATTGTTTATAGAAGATCTAATGATAAATTACCATGCCCTTTGCTCCGGTCCGATAGAAATATTTGTAAATATTATGACACTCAAGTCAGTGACGTGTCTTTGATTTGGATTTGTGTTTTAATTTTATAAAAGCTCACTAGGATTTAATCCTTAAGGTCACTGTCTCAAAGGACAATTGTCATCCGATTGCATGGTCTTGTTATCCATCGACCATTGATGACTAGACATATTCAAGTTAATCAAAAGAATGGTCTTATCAGCTTTGGAAGAATTCCATCCATACATATCTAAACCTTCCTATATTCTATTTTGAAAAATACAAACATCTACAAATTCCGTAAGCAGATATACATTCTTTAGAATTTTGCTATTCATACATATAGATAAGAAAGTTGAATTTCTAATATGTGTAGTCTTTGGAACAGTGCCAATAAAGAAATATATCTAAACATTAACTTACATATTTTATGATTTAAATAGTTGAGTTGGATGAAAGTTAAATTGAACAAAAAATAGTTGAATATGGATCTGGATCCTCTACTGCTGTCTCTCTGCAGCTATTGGTGTTCAGCACCAATGATAACCATTGGATCTATGTTATGTATCGCTCTCTTTCAATTACTTGCTTTAATTTTTTTTTTTTCAACCACTAAATTTAGAACAGGATACATGGCTGCATGCTTTAGGCTAGAGACGATCCATATGCGATTTTTTTCAAGGTCACCAAAGTTTACGTATGTTCACATAAGCATGATTTGAGACAAATAGCACACACATGCATAAGAAAAAAACACTTATCATGTAAGATTGAGAGAAATAAGTTAAGCGTAAGACGTTACATATATCCAACATCATAAATAATTACACATTATTTTGTAATAATATTTGAACGATGCTAGATTTCTTTTTTGCTAAATAGATTTTTTTTAGACCACAATATTTGAATTTTTTTCAACAATAACTAGGTTTTACACTTAAAATACTTAAATAACTATGTTATTAAAAAATTTACTTAAATAATCAGATTTGGAATCTGAAATAAGTGGACACACCATATTATATGGCGCATGCACCTAAAATTGAACTTAAGCGTTATATAAGATGGCGCATGCAATACCTAGACGTCATATAAGATGGCGTGTACATGCAATTTTTGTGAAGAAGCGACATATGAGATGACGTATACATGCAATTTTTCCAAAAACAAAATGAACTTATGTGTCATCTCATATGGCGTCTCACTTTTAAATTCACATGCATGCACCATATGAGATGGCTTTCCAGAAACAAAATTAACATATGCGCCATCTCATATGTTGTCTCCCTTTTAAATTCACATGCATGCGCCATATGAGATGGCATGTCCATTTAATCCAGATTTCAAATCTGGTTATTTGTGTAATTTATTTTAAAACATGGTTATAGAGGTATTTTAATTATAAAATCTGATTATTCTTTAAAAAAAATTCAGTGCTTTCGCTAGTAGGGCATCTTTTTTTAAATTAATACTACACATAGTATAGTTTATTCAACACACAAAATCAATCAAATCTAGTTATTTTAGAAAATTTATGATTTATCTTTTAGATTTACTTTATACTTATGCATTTCTTCGTTTAATAGTTCATAAAAAATAAATAATGTACTTAACATTCTTTGTAGAAGTTAATGGGTATATATACTCGAAGGACATAGTTTTTTCCTTAATGTAATTGTAATACGGTGGGAGAACTGATTTGAGTGTTTTGCGTTTTATCGCAATTGTAGCGGATAGCAAGAGTCGTCACCGACTTTCCTTTTATCCAATAAAGGAAAGAGTGAAAAGAACAGGAAAAACCTTTTGAGAATTTTCTTGAGTTCAGAGGGTAGGTTATGAAAAGGGAAGGTGTTAGCACCCTTTTCATCCGTAGTTATCTACGGACCCTTAGTTGCTAGCTCCCTTTGAAATGCTTTGCAAATGTGCTTGTATTTTGTTTTGAAAGTATTTTTGAAAGGTGTCTTTGTTTAGATGAACTTTGTAATGTTTCTCGTTTCGGCGAAAACGTATACAAAGTGTTGAATTTTGAAAATACTTCATGAAAGTGTTGGTGTGTTTGAAAGATGGTTGTTTTGAAATGTTTGTGAGCAAGCAACTATGAACGTTCTACCTACTCAAAAAGTCTTTGTTCTTTTCCTCCTCCTTTAGATAGTGCTTGTCTATCATTAGTTAGTAGGAAGCCTATCATTGAATGTGAAGGAACATGCGTGGGTCATCGTACAGTCATAGAAGGCAACATTGTAGGATACCTTAGCAATTCGTTGTAAGGGTCTAAGATCGTTTTATCGAAGGCAACATCGAAGGGTCATTGAGGGACTACGATCTTGTAATCAAGGGTCTTTGCTAAAATATCCCACGTTCGAGGGACATGATTGTTTTATTCTAAGGCAACAAGTGTGACTTAACCCTAGAGGTGCAAGTGTGTGAAGTGTTTTTATTTTCATACAATTATCTTGAATTAGGGTTGTCTACTTGTTTGTTTTAAGTCTGGCCATACAAACCTTAATTACTAGCAATAATATGGAAAGTGATAAATTACAGAATTTAAAAGTTCTACGCTATTACAGTATTTTAGGAGATGCGGATACAAACTACAAATAGGGATGAAAGCAATTAAAATTTAATTACTATTACAACCATATTGAATAATGCCAAATAAAATATACAAGAATATAAAGATAATATAAAAGAAAAAAAAATATTTTTTTTATGTTTTTTTGTATGAAAAATATTTTAACCTAATTAATCAAATTGAAAAGAAATTAATAATAATTTTATTTTTAAATTAAATTAATTTAATTAAGAGAAAGTTAAAACCTAAGTCTAAATTAATTAAGAAAAGAAATTAATTTATTAAGAAAATATTTTTTAGGATTTTTTATTTAAAGGAAATGAAATAAAGTAAAAATAAAATAATAACCTTTAGTCTAAGCATATAATAAAAAATATATTTTTGTATTTTTTAATAAAAATAATAATAATAATAATAATAATAATAATAATAATAATAATAATAATAATAATAATAATAATAATAATAATAAAATAAAATAAAATAAAATAAAAATATAAAAATTGGGTCACGAGGTTTGAAATTGAAAAGGGTGTTAGAAAGTAAAACATTTTTGTTTTTGCTTAGGGCCCAAACTGACTTTTTTATGTAATCAGAAAATAAAAATAAAAGAGAGTGAGTCTGCGTGTTGATTAGCATTCAGGGGGTGAAGGGAAGAAAAATATGATGACCCATCTGGAAGGAGGCCCAGGCGCGTTGATGACCAAAAATTGAAACAAGGAAAAATATTGTAAAAATGACAAAAGGTCTCTTTGGGGCTCGAACCCAGGACCTTATAGAGTAATGCCTTACGCGCGCGCTTGCTGCCACTGGGGTGGCTATACATCCGTTTATTTATACAAAACCATCACATTATATTATAAAACAAGTTCTAGTTACAACTTCATTTTCTTCCTCACGCCATAACCAGAGCTCTGTAACTTTCTCATCTCTCAACCATTTCAGAAATTATAAACATCAAACTTGTTAGAAATCTCACCACGATTTCAAATATGTAAATAACTTAAGCAATGGTTCAAAGATGAGCACGAATTTTAAATGGTACCAAATTTTGACCTAATTTTTCAGGAAGTTCAAACTCAAAATTCACACTACTCAGGCAATATAAATGAATTCTAAGGACATGGTTAATTTCGGGGCTATGATGTCTACATTTTATCTTTTAAAATGGAAGTCAAATGATGTCTGTATGAAGAGTTGGAAAATCAGAAAACTCACCTTGCAAGTGGATATCGTATTTTGAGTTTGAGCTCACTTCAAAGTGTTGTAATGATCTGATTAGCTTCATTGAACCTCCAGGAAACTATTCTAATAGTTACTTTGATATGAGGGTTCCTGAATAGTACTAGAGAAGTCCAAGTGCAAGGTGTTGTTTTTGAAAATGGAAGATGGTAAAGATGGAG